GTACAATATTGTATAACTGTAATAATTCAACCGTAACCCTGAAAATTTACAGCCAATTTTGAAGAGATGCATCTTAGCTCTGGAAATGGTTACTGAATATGTCAATGCTGTTGTAATGAAATGCTTCTTCTAAGTACGTGGTTATTAAATAAATAATTTTTAAAAGAGACAAAAAAAGACAAAAGAACCCCTCAAAAAATTGAAGAAACAGTGGGTTACTGCAAAGACTCATAATGGGTCAAAACTCGTCAAAGTACAGAGAACAAGTTACTGTTAAGTGTTCAGCGCTCTATGGGACATTTAGGTCAGCATTCCTCACTTCCCTCCAAGGCTCAGGGAACATCAGAGAAGAGCCAGAAGACGGAAGGAGCGCAGTGAAATGCTGTCTTCTGGGCATGGCACAGCTGTTCCACTCACAAACTCACAGCAGCTGCAGTTACCAGGACAAGTCCTGCACAAGATCAAGCCTATGAAAATTCCAGCATGGATTGGGGAGTGGCACATAGGATCACACCTGTAGAGGAGGAACTATTAGCAATTAATGGCTTAGGGAAGAGGCAGTCATTTTTCTTCAGTGTTGTAGCACTGGTAAGTAGCCTGCGATTCAGTAATTAGCCCACACACATGTACATGCAAGCAACTGTCACTGAAGTCAATGGGTTATTAAACAGAGGACATGAAAGGAGGAGGAAGGCATTCTGGGAAGAATTCCAGAAGAAGTATGTGGGGGATAAGAGAGGAATATGGGGGATATGCTCAAAATGCATTATATAGATGTACAAACTTGTGAAAGAATAAATTAAAAAATTGTTTTTCAAAAGGAGCAAGAGAGGAACCATGAGAAATTCCATACTCCAGGAGAACAGGGATGAATGCATGCGAAGGAAGGCCTCTGTGAGATGTAGTTAACTATCACTGAGTGTAACTAAAAAGACTTAAGTAACATCCTTCTTGGAAGATTTGTCCATATGTAGTAAGAATTCTTAAATTGCCCTGATTTACCTTTTTCCAAAAACAAATGGCTATCGCTGCCATCACTTTCTAACAACTGCTCTTCCAACATCATGCTATCCAGTGAGACGGAATCCAGAGACATCTGTGAGGAGCTTCTCTTCATGTTCTTGTAAGAAACACAGAGTGGAGCCAGGTTGGATGGGCAACGGTCCTTAGGTTTTGCACTATTATCAAACAAAATTAATAGAAAATTGCTACAGTTATGGAAAAGAACTTTGTCTTAAAATACCTGAAGAGCTGAGGTGGTGGTACATGCCTATAATCCCAGCACTGGGAAGACAGCGGTAAGAGGATTACTGCAAATTCTAGGCCAACTAGAACTACACAACAAGACCTGTCAAAACAATAGCAACAACAAAGGGAAAAAAAAAATCCAAAACAAAACGGATGCACATAGTACCTAAAAGTTTAAAAGTTATATTTAAATATATACTCTCCAAGGGTTATCATATTTTGAAAGATCTACTCTCTTAACTTTAACAATACAACATTTTATCATGAAATTTTCTGCCCCAAATCAAAACATGCTGACATGTACACACACTCAGCCAAAACAACAACAACAAAAAATCCAACGGTATCATTACCTTAGCGATGACTGAGATTTAAGTGTTCTGGCTGGGGGTGCCTCTCCTTGACTGGTTTCCAGGTTCTCAGATAGCAGAGCTGTTTCTGGAAGGAAATCCTCAGATTTGAAGATTGATTCTATAATTTCATTCCCTTTACTAGCCAAAGTGTTTGCAAGCATGCTTTGATTGCCATCACTATCAAAAGATCTCGTATTTGAGTCTTCTCTGTAGTTTAAGATGCTATCTGAGTCTGTGCAAGGTGGATGCTTTCTGCCACTCACTTCTGCCATAGCTTCTCCTGAGCCACTCTTGTAAACAAGTCCACTACTTTCATCTTCACTTATTTTCCCTAAATGTTTATCTGATAAACAGTCCAGAAAGTAAGTACCTTTTTGCAGATTTGTGTCACTAGCTGATTTAAAAAGCAAAGGGTCTTTTAAAGGGACATGGCTAAGATCAACACTCATGGATCTGTTATCTGGAATATGATTAAGAGGAACATTCCTAATTCGATTTATACCACTACTATCTTGTCTTCTCTTTGAAGATAAAAATCCCCCATTTTCCGTGGGCAAATAATCAGTAGTACCCAATGGGCTCACACTTTCAGAAACCGGAGACTTAAGAGTATCTGCACGATCCACTGGATGAAGCAACAGAGCCAGTTCTGCACTTCGAAGTAGAATTCCAATGCAAATGGTTGTCTGACTAGCAGGACTGCCTGTCACGGCTTCTACATCTTTCCGTAGGTTATCTGAAAGCAGAATGAGTGACTCGTGTAGGAAAAGTAGGAACAGATACTGGTAGTGATTGAGCTGCATACTGACATGTTTATGAACGTGGACCAGGATGTGAATATCTGCATCTGCAGAGGAAGAAGAAAACCTTAAACCTGTATCTGATGAAGGCTTCTGAGCGCCACTGGCCGAGGGCTCAGACTCTGTACTGTAATACTCCTTCAGGAGCCTCTTCCGCTTCAGTCGGCCAGCCAGATCACTAGACTCACTTTGGGAGGTATTAAGAGAGACCTGATCACAGGTCTGGAGCTCTTTCTGTGACTCTGCGTATCTACTTGGTTGACAAATCCAGAGAGACAGAGGGAAAGAATCTACAAAACTTATCGGCCGTCCTTTTCCACTTTTCATCCCCTCATAGTCTATCCAAAATTGAGAAAAGTGCACAGCCCACACATCAGTGGCAGCAGCTGTTTTAAGAGTGTTTTTATTCAATTTGGGAGTAATATTCCCTTTGTAAACTTCATGCATCTTGGTATCCTGTTCATGGGCATGTCTCTGGAAGATTGGATGTAGAAGATTAAAACTGTCACAGGTTTTGGGGAATCTAGTATATGTTTTGCTAAAAAAGTCACAATCTTTGAAGTCTTGAAACAAAGCTTCCAGATCAGAATGCCTGCAGTTTGGACAGTGCCTCGTATTTGTGGCAATCATTTCAGAGCTCTGAATCGATACTGTGTGTGGCTGATCCTGATGACACTCCGCTTTCATTTCAGAAGGAATGACAAACTAGAAGAGAAAAAAAATTCATCTAGTCCAACTTACAAATCCATATAGTTCAATAAAAGAGTTAGGTTAGGACTTTTCTTGACACTTTCCCCCGAGATACTTTTTTCCTATCCAGATATAAAACACTGCCTTTTCCTCTTTCAAGTCTTTCAATAAATTCAATAAAAGGTAGTCAACCAATTAACCACTAAAGAAGAGAACAAGCTTCTTAAGAATCGTAATATGAATGAATAACGTTCATGATGATGTATTGTTAACATATAATAATCACAAGATAAAAACAATACAGGTCTGGAAGATGTAGCTCAATGGCAGACTGCATGCCTAGTATATACAAGGCCCTAGATGTAGTGCCTAGCACTAAAGTAAGTGAAAGAAAGAAAGAAAGAAAGAAAGAAAGAAAGAAAGAAAGAAAGGAAGGAAGGAAGGAAATACTAAATGTTTACTATGCTCTGAATATACAGAAAAATTACTAAGTCTGGAAAATGGATATTTTTGTTAAAATACTTTTAAATGTCAGTGATTTAGGGGGTGATTGGATGGATAACCAGATAAATGCCAATAGAATCAGTTTTCTGGGCTGAGTGTGATGGCACACACCTGTAATCCCATCACTCAGGAAGCAAATGGGGAGGAACTATTAAGCAAATAAAGCTAAGAGGATAGGTCAAACTATTCGAAAGAATTTTCAAAAGTGAATTAAATCCAGCATTCAGAATATTCACATCAAAGAGCTCAAAGTGGTTTTAAACATTGCTCATACTCAGAAAACGTAATTTCATTATATAATTCTGTCTCAACTGTAACTGTTATAAAACCTGTCCTTTTATATTAATTTTTAGAAGATCTTTCAGAACTTTACCTATACCAGAAATTATTATTAGTAAAATGTACAAAGAAGAGGTTAGGGTATATAATCTACCAACAGTAGACCTTGAAACAAATTTTGATCTATGTCCTGGTCTTATTGTATTTACTAAATTTTTGGCTTGTAAACGCTTTCCTTTAAAATGTTAAGTATGTACAGGGCTCAGATTAGTGGCTACTTGCCTAAAATAAAAAACAATTTCTTGCTATCTTTGGACATTAGTAATAGACTAAATATAAACAAATACACATCATATAATTTAAAAGCTTTGTAGCATACTTAATCTTTTTTATAAGAAAAAAATTTTAAGACTCATAGTAGAAAAAAATCATAAAAATTTAAAAAACTTTTCTTAACATTTATTTATTGTGTGGGGTGGGGGCGGTGCACCTATGCCATGGTACGGGCTCAGTTCTCTTTCCATCATATGGATCCTTGGGATCAAACTCAAGTCATCAGGTATAGCAGCAAGTGTCCCCCTACCCCCATTTTAAAACTCCATTTATCTATTTATTGGGGTGGAGGATAAGGCACATGCTTCAATGCAGGTGTGGAGGTCAGAGGATAGTTTGCAGGAGGCAGTTCTCTCCTTCCACCATGTGGGTCCTGGGGATTGAACTCGGGTCACCAGACTTGGCAGCAAGTGCCTTTACCTGATGAGCCATCTCACCAGCAGTGACCAAAGATTTTAATTTTACTGCTATACCTTACTTTCAAATGTATGGAAATTAGGGAAAACTTTAAATCCTAAGAAATATACAAATGGGGAAAAAAGCAGTCTCTTAGATTTTCTATTACTGAGAGTCAAAAGTAAATCTAAAGTTTCAAAATCACAATTCAGACTATAAAGAAGTTGATTTCACCCATGTCACATCTGGAAACTGTACCACTGCCAACCTTGTGTCTATAAAAATAGCCCCGTTCTTGCAGCCACTTGTTCATACAATACCTTCAGCATCAAACCATCAACTCGGATATCGACATGCTCGTCAGATTTTGAATTGTCATTCAACTTGTACACAGTCATGAATTGATTAAGACTCTGTTTTAAATCCAACAGAAACTGATTTAACCACAGAATGCTTCTTTCATCCACAGTAAACTGTAGTGCATTCAGCTGGCTATAGAGGTTGGGAGATGGAACTACAGAGGAAAAAAAAATGTAAGCACCATTAATGAACAGAAAGTGCTCAGCATTTCCTGAGGGAAGAAAAGATATTTTTAACAAGTTTCATTCTTTCTTAAAATAAAATTGTTTGAAATGTCATATATGAAGTTAGAGTAACATGAATAAAAGTAAATATAGACATAAAACATTTTTCTGTTTCACTAACTGAAAAATAGTTTAATAAATCAGATGTATAAATAGGAAGTGCTATTTAGATTTTTTTCTAAGGTTATAGTCACAACAAAGCAAATTTCTAAAAACATGACCTTCTTGAAGCATCATATCAAAGCTCTGCCCCTTCATGACCTATTCTGTACAAACTTTATCATCTGAATCAAAATCTGCATCATTTAAATCTAATAACCATATTCTTAGGAAATGATATGCTAGACAGAAACTCTAAGAGGAGGGAACATGGACAATTTTACTTTCCACTTTGATCCAGGCTTAGAATGCTGCTTGAGGTAAAGTAACAACTGAAGTAACTTCCAAATAACCAAATACGTATATACTTTTTACAGTCCCCCTCCCCCAAGAAACTAACATTTACAATTAGAGAGAATTATCACTTGTGCACATAGATACCAACCATAAAAGCTATGTTGGCTTCAGACCTTCTTGGTAAAGATCTTATATTCTACAAGACCAAGAACCCTGAGAGGAGACCCCAATTTCACCAGTACACGTGACATTCCGGTGAGGCTCCCCCACTTTCTGGTAACTATATGCCTCATTTGATTTTATTGACACTACCTTCTGTATAACCAATTTTTGGTCTTAGTTGAATAAATATGGGTTTTATTGTTAGAAAAAATCCTTTACTCTAGAAATTCAGTCTGTTTCCTGGCTGCTCTATGAGGTGAGAGGCTTTCCTTCATCATGCCTTTTCATGTGATAATCTCGCTTCCCAAAAGCCTAAGACCAATGAAGCCAGCTGAGGAGGATGGAAACCTCTGACCCACCCTTAAGTTGTTTATGTCAGCAGTTAAGTTCCTGTGATTTTCATTTGTGGAAGAACGTGAATAAGGACAAAAAGAATAGGCAAAGGTTTGGTTGGCTGGGGCCTTGAAAATGATGAAGATATGATACTTAGAAAGTAAACAGGCAAGATTATTGGGTCACCAAGGTCAATCTATGAGAACAGAACACAACCTGAAAGTAAAGTGTGGACCTAAATAACTCACAGCTCCTCCATCTGTTAGATTAGTAACAAGCCTTACTATGAATGGAATAAATCATTCCAGTGGAACAGTGAATGCATGGAGCAAACCACTATTAGCAAAGTAGAATTTGCTAGCATTAAAGTTATACTTCAGGATCTGAGAAATCTCACTGATGTGCAAAGAAGACATGAAACTTTCACAGCCACCAGAAACACAGGCATACAACAATTCATTTTAGTGGATCTCAAACTTGCCTTAAGTCAACAACCTGGTATGCATGTTAATGTCTTGACTAAGCATCACAATGCAAAATATCCACACATTCAAGCAAAAGAATTCCAGCAGTTAAACATGACATGAACATTTGTAAGAATATATTTAACATATATACCCATTGTTTTCAGGTTAACTGGGAAAAACTGCAGCACAATGTTTCTTTCTGTTGTTAAGCCATTGTGATTTAAACGTGAACCTGCATGACTTAAAATCCAATTCCAGCTTACAATATGAAAACATGGCAAGGAATGTCAGGTAGAAAGGAACACCTGTATGTTTCTGAAAAGTAAAAGCAATGGCATACTTTATGCACCTTGGAGAAATGTAGCTGAAATTGTTTAAAGGAGCAGGTACAAGGAATACTGTCACAAAATTGTGCTTGTTTTTGAAGAAGTGTGGACGCTATTAGTAGTATCAAAATAGAGCGTTGTTTTGATACCTGTATTTATAGTAAAAAGATGTTCAGGAGTCAATGAATTTTTGTGGAAAGTGATTCATGTTTGTTATATGCAGCAGACATGATAAATATTATTTAGAGTCTTTGTTTAACAAACCATGCATTTAAGATTTAAGTGAAGTCAATGAAAAGGAAATTGGTTTATTAATAGGTGATTTTGAGATTAAAGTCAGTCTTAAAAACATAAAACAAACAAAACTAAAAAAAAATTGTAAAGCAGAATATATACCTAGAATTTCTACACAAAATGAATTTAAGGAAAGCAAATCCCGACATGTAAGAAACCAAAAAAGAGCATGTTCTACCACATTCTACTATATTCTACCAGTGTTCTGCATATGCACTGTGGGGGCTTGTCTTTACTTGAGGAAAAAGATTCACTGAAAGTAGACATTTTATAAACTATGCTAAACACAAAGAATATCAAAAAAATCAAGCATGTCCTATTTTAAAATTTTTTCAGTTTATTATATGAGATGGATATGAAATGAAAAAATACATAATTCAAGTCTATCAGAAACGTGCAGTTGTGTTGTGCAGGTGTTTGTCTTTGGGAATAAAAAAAGAAAGAAGGATGTGAGGAGAATGCATCACATTCTGGACAGGAGGGAGTTTCTAAGTAAAGACTGAGTGATGAAAGCAGCCACGAAGAAGACTAGGGAGGAAATGTGGCTCCCAAGGTTGGGGCAAGGGGAGAAACAGCACTGCATAGGAAGATCTGCATGTCGTTCCCAACAGGGGTCTATGGATGACCATATTTATTTGCTTGTTTGTTGTCTGACCGGAGTTTTTGTTTGTTTTGCTGGCTGGTTGGTTTTGATGGTGGAGGGGATTAAATATAAGGCATCACACCTGTTGGGCAAGTACTCTACCACTGTGTTATACCTGAGCCCTAAAAGCATCTGAAATGAGGTAGGAGAAACCTTTACTATGTTCATAACATTAAGGGAAAGGGGCAGGATACGAATCAAATATGCAAAAGAAGCATATGCATTACAAACAGGATTAAGAACACTATACTTTTCCAAATGTCTGCCCCATGCCTTCAAACTGCTATTCTGAAGTCCTAATCTCAGTAACTCATAATGTGACTTCTTGGAAATAGAGCTCTTATGGAAGAAATTAAGGCAAAATGAGACTATATGAGCGGGCCCTAGTCCAGTGTGACTGGTGTCCTTGGAGCAAAAGATCAGGACAGACACATAGAAGGATGATTATGTGGAGATATAGAGGAGACAGAGAAGACAAGGAAGAGTGAGATCTCAAAGGAAACCCCTTCATCTCTCTCACTTCCAGCATCCAGAACTATGAGAAAACGAAGTCCTGCTGCTGAGGCCAGAGTTTGCAGTATTGGCTGCCGTACCACAGGAAACCAACATCTTTACATTTAACAGGTATCCCTAAACTGCAGACTTATTGACAACTTTTAATTTGGACAGTTTCCTTTTTAAAAAATATGAGCACATGTAACTTTCACAATAGAAACAAATTAATATACGTTAAAGGTTAGATTGCCTAGTATTGTTTAAAAGACAAAGATACAGTAATCTGAGGATTAAAAAGTGACTTGGGGTTCAATATTACAACCTTCCTTTACTGCTTCTTGGCCTTTTGGTTAAGATCAAGACTCATATGACTATATTCCCTATTTTTGTTTAAGAAATTTTTCATAAAATTAAAAGTTAAAATATTAATAGCTAGCATGACAGAGAGATACCACTACTAAGTATCTAGGGGGTAGGGCTTAAAGTGACAGAAGAGAATTTTACAGATTTTTTTTAGAAAAAAATGTACAGTTTAGAGAATGGGTTTACAATTCCTTTGACACATGCTAACTGGTAGAAATAAACCTATGTAAGAAATCATCCAACCTTGAAACTAGTCAACTCTGAAGAAAAATTACTTGTTCAATGACATGCTTCATTTATGCACAATAATGTGTTTTGTTTTTTTAATATTTTGTTTATTATTTTTTATTTTATGTGTATGAGTGTATTGCCTGCATGGAAACCAGTGCACCCGTGTCATGCAATGCCTTGGAGGTCAGAAGAAGGTTTCAGATTCCCCTGGAACTGGAGTTAAGGACAGTTCGTAGCCGGCATGTGGGTGCTGGGAATTGAACGCGGGTCCTCAGTAAGAGTAGTCAGTGCTCTTAACTGCTGAGACATCTCTTCAGCCCACAATAATGTGTTTTATTTGAAGGGTTCCAACAAGATTTGACAGTTACAGACAAAAGGCTGTGATGCGTGAACACCCTTGGTTAAGAGCCATACAGCGAGGCAATGAGGAGGCAATGGCTTGGGACCACAATGGAGTTTCAGTTCTGCCATTTTATTACTGAGAAGACACTGAGCAAATGTCTTCACCTATTTTAATTCCCTCATCTTAGGAAGGTAATTGGCAGAAACAAATAACACACACAAACACACACACACACACACACACACAATGTTCAAAGGCAGAAAAACTAAGAATTAAATGTCACAAATTTGGCAGAAATTAGGGATAAAGTGATAAAATACCTGAACATCTCTTTCTCTGATTTCTCAAATGCCTTATTCAGCAACAAAAGCAAAAACTATTTCATGCACACCAAAATTTCCTTTTGAGCCGGGCATGGTGCCACATGCCTTTTAATTCCAGCACTCAGGAGGCAGAGACAGGTGGATCTCTGTGAGTTTGAGGCTAGCCTGGTCACCATAGTGAGTTCCAGGCCAGCTGGGGATACAGGGAGACCCTGTCTCAAAAAGACCAAAAAAAAAAAAAAAAAAAAAAAAAAAAAAAAAAAAAACTTTTGAAACTGAAAACCTGTATTAACAAATCAGGATTACAAAGATGGCAAAGTCCTACAAGCATGAGGACCTGAGTTCAATCTCCACAACCCAGATTTTAAACAAGCCAGGCAGGCCTACTAAATTTAATCCCAGTGCTGGGGAGGCAGAGACAGGGAGGAGTCCCTGAGACCTGTTGGCCAGCCAGTCTAGCATACTTGGTAAGTGCCAAGCCAGTGAGACACCCTGCATGGAAAAAGAAGTGGGCTGGGCATGGTAACACACACCTTTAATCCCAGCACTTGGGAAGCAGAGGCAGGTGATCTGTCAAATTTGAGGCTAACCTGGTTTACACAGCAAGTGCCAGGCCAGCAAGGGCTATATAGTGAGACCGTATTTCAAAAAAATAAAAACAAAACAACAACAAAAAACTGGGCAGTGCCTAAGGAATGGCAGCTGAAGCTGTCCTCTGAGCGTCACAGGCACACATATATCTGTGCATGAGAGAGAGAGAGAGAGAGAGAGAGAGAGAGAGAGAGAGAGAGAGACAGAGACAGAGAGACAGAGAGACAGAGAGACAGAGAAAGCACCACATAAACAAAGGAAAATATTTAGTTTGAAGATCAGGTAAAATGAAACAAAAAAAATAATTTTAATATCCAAAGAAATAAATATAAAATCATTTTAACTTTAGGAAGCCAAAATAGCTATGACAGTCAAGAAAATTTCCCAATAGCTAAAAGTAAATTTCAATTATTCATTTTTTAATAAAATGGAATTTTATATAGCTGACCTAAAAACGGAGTCTTACAAAGAAAAAAAAATGACCTTCTTCTACAACTAACATTCATTCATTCTTCATTTAATGAATAGCTATCAAGCATAAAATACAGGCTAATAGCACAGACTCAAGAATAAAACCAGTTAGAAACACCACAAGATTTCTGCCATCAAAGGTGAGGATAATACTGAGGAAAAAGGACACATAAACACATAATAACAGTATGTACAAATGTTATGTAAAAGATATGATCTAAATACAGTGACAATAAGTGTAAAGAATGGACTTTTATTTTTCTGTATAGCATTTATAAAACCCAAAGTTTTGCTTTAAAAAAATCCAATAATGTACAAATAATAACAAAATAAAAAACTCTCTTACTTGGAAAGTCCTTTCCATCAGGATAGTAATACTCTGTGAATTCTATGTAGATAGCTGACATTTCTTGTGGAAGATACAGGGATTTTTTATTGCAGGAAATCATGCTCTTGGGGGACGAACGGCACTGCTCTGCTGTAGAGACCTAAGAAAACATGTTTGCTTAAATTATACCAGATAAAGTCCCTTCCAAAGGATTTATATAACATACACTTCACTTTCCAAATTTTTGTTGTTTTTAAATACTTTAATGTTTTATTTTTTATTTATTATTTTTATTTTATGTGTATGAGTGTATTGCCTGCATGTATGTGAGTGCACCTGTGTCGTGCAATGCAGCGGAGGTCAGAAGACAGCTTCGGATTCCCCTGGAATTGGAGTTAAGAACTGTTTGTAGCCGCCATGTCGGTGCTGGGAATCGAACCTGGGTCCTCTGCAATAGCAGTCAGTGGTCTTAACCACTGAGCCATCTCTCCAGCCCCTATTTATTGTTTTAATATTTTATATTTTATTTTCATTTTATGTGTATGAGTGTATTGCCTGCATGTGTGTTAAGTGCATACATGTCACACAATGCCCATGGAGGTCAGAAGAGGGTGCTGGATTCCCCTGAAACTGGAGTTACGGATGGTTGTTAGCCTCATGTGGGTGCTGGGACTCAAACGCTGGTCCTCTGCAAGAGCAGCCAGTGCTCTTTTTATTTTTTAGACAGGGTCTCCCTGTAACCCCAGCCAGCTTTGAACTCCCTATATAAACCAGGTTGGCCTCAATCTCACAGAGACCTCTGCCTCTCAAGTGCTGGGTTTAAAGGTGTGTGCCATCAAAACTGGCTGAAGTATAAATAGAGTACATTTTCTTTTGACAATATTTCTTCTTATAATAATCAAACTTTTGGTATTTGTACAATTTATAAATTCAGGGCAACTTCTTACATTTAACAGTTTTAAAAGTCTTTCTCCACATGCAGAAACAAATCCTTTCACTTATTTGTCAACTCAGTAAGCAATGGCTTTTTTGTTTGTTTTGTTTTGTTTTGTTTTCTTGAGACAGGGTCTAACTATGTAGTCCCAGATGACCTGGAACTACCATCCCAAGCTGGTCTTGATCTCACAGAAATCTGCCTGCCTCTGCCTCCCAGGTCCCGGGATAAAAGATGTGTATCATCACACTCGGCCTGCAATAGCATATTTTTAATAGTTAAAATACTATCCAAATTCAGAATAAATACTGTTCTATTTCCTGTCACTTTTCTGGTTTTTTGTAAAAAATGTTTCTATATGCAGGGTTTCTTTACAACACTTAATTGAAATAATAAGTGATTACTCTTGCTCATTTCCTTATGGTTTTATTTAAATCTTAAAATTTAAAGTCTTGGGTGTAGTGGTGCATGCCTGTAATACCAGCCCTTGGGAGGTAGAGGCAGTCTCAGCCACATAGGTAATTCACGGCCAGTCTATGCTACATGAGATCCTACTCCTAAAAAAAAAAAAAAAAAAAAACCAATTAAAAAAAAATCTATCAGTAAATAAAAAAGCTACATTACATAAAATTTATTCACAGTAAGAAAATAATCAGGGCTGTAAGTATATTTAAATGAAAACTTTTCAGATAAAGCCACAGATTTACCAAAATAAACCAGAGCAATTTATAAATGATTATACAAATCTGAAAATTATTTTTATTTTTAAAAATAAGGCAATTATTGATTGATTGCTATTAAAGATTATGGTATTAGACTCTGTTGTATGATTACAGCCTGAGTGAAACAGTACAAATGGGGCAGAGTTCTTAGCATAAAATATATTTACGGTTGCTAGGCGCCTTTAGTCCCAGCACTCAGGAGTCAGAGGCAGGTGGAGCTCTGTGAGATCGAGACCAGCCTGGTCTGTATAGCGAGTGCCAGATCAGCTGGGGCTACAGGGAGACCCTGTCTCAAAAAGACATAATCATCATCATCATCATCATCATCATCATCATCATGATCATCATAATATGCTCATAGTCTGGTTAATACATAATAGTTCAGGGAATCTAAAAGTCATTTTAGGTTCTTCTACAAAGACCACTGTGCAATTAGAAATTTGGCCTCCAAGAGGAGTTCTGGCCTTTGTCCCTGCTCCTAAGAGAGAACGAGAAACTACAATTTACTATTCACAGTGCCAACTGATATTTTAAGAAAACTAGAAGACTGGATGTTGGGTTGGTCACACTGGACAGTGTTATTAGCAGTTGGAGGTCAGGGAAGGCTTTGAGTCACCTGCTATCAGTCTACTCCAATATGAATTCAACCACAAAGGAAAGATTTCATGTACATTATTCCACATGTACACTGTGGTGCTGGGAGGAACACCAGGCTCATAAATGTTAGGCAGTCTCCACCACTGAGCTATGTCAGCAGCCCTGAATTCCACATTCATATACTGAATTCACATACTGTGCCCCATGCATCTCTTTCCAAGGCTAATTCTACTTTGTATTTTTTTTCCTTGTAAAAGTGAATATAAAAGATTTCAGTGAGTTCCCTGAGTGTTTTAAGTGCAATACTAAACCTGAACAGAGTAATTGGTGTCAGAAGTTTCGGGCAGTACTATTCCCTTGACTTCAGTTTGGCCAATTCAAGGTAACAACAAATTTAAATGAATGAACTGATATTTTCTACCCCATCTAATTTGCATTTCACAAAATCAGTGAAGGCATTTTAAAATAAAAGATGGTATTGGTTAATAGGGTTGCTCTATGAGACACTAAAAAGATTTGTGATTAGATTAATTAAAAAAGACATACCTGGTATATATTGAAATCTGCAAGTCTAACAACAACAGAACTAGACATTAGCTTAGCTTTTGACGGCTGTGATAATGCTGAAGGGGTTTTAGAAGTCCCTTTCAGAGTGGAATCTTTCTCTGTAAGAAATAAAAACTCATTTAAATTTATTAAAAATTTAATTTATTACAAAATTATTTTTAAAAGTCACTCTTTTGCTATTAAGAAAGCTATTAAAAGTACAGATGAACGCCAATTTCTGAAACATGATAATGTATGTGGATACAAGTATGCAGGCTTTGGGGTAATGATTTTTTGAAAACAAGAATCATATTATATGATATTTTAAGTCACTCTTATCACAATATTAAAAATAAAAAACTAAGGAGCCTCTTAAAAGTATGGAAATTCTAACTGGGTGTATTAATCAGTAAATTTTACTGGTTATATTAATCTTTTTTTCAGACAAAAAGCATGTTTAATAAATGGTGCTGTTCAAAATGAATAGCCACATTTAGAAGAATGAAACTACATCCTTACACATCAATATGCACAAACCTCAACTCCAAATGGATCAAGGACAACATAGGACCTGATACGTTGAATCTGACGGAAGAGAAATAGGCAATACACTGGAAATGATAGGCACAGGAAAGAACTTTCTGAACAAGCCAGGGACCTTATGAACTAAAAAAAACTTTGTATAGCAAAGGACATTATCATTCATATCAAGAGACAGCCTACAGAATGGGAAAAATTCGTCTGACAGACGGTATCTAGAATACACAAAGAACTAAAACAACTTAACATTAAAAAATAATCCAACTGCAAATTGGGACAAAGAATTAAACTCAGAATTCTCTAATCAAGAAACACAAATAGCTAACAATATTTCTTTTAATGTTAAATATCTTTAGCCATCATGAAAATGCAAATTAAAACTACTTCATAATTTAATCTTACCCTAGTCAGAGTGGCTAATACCAAAAAATAAATATATAAAAAGGATAACAAATGCTGGCAAAGTTAAGGGTAAGGGGAACATTAATTCACTGCTGGTGAGAGTAAAAACTGGTGCAGCCTCTATGGAAATCAGTGTGGAAGTTGCTCAAAAAGCTAAAATTAGACCTCCCACATGACCAAGCCATGCCATTCTCGGGCATATACCCAAAGGACTCTGTATCTTACTACAGAGACACCTGTTCATCTATGTTGAATGCTGCTCTATTCAAAATAGCCAGGAAATGGAAACAAACTAGATATCCATCAACTGCTGAATGGGTATTGAAATTATGGTACATTTATACAATGAAATATTATTAAGCTCTTTTTTGGTCTTTCTTCTTTTATTTATTTTTTATGGGCTTTTGGCTACTCTAACATTCCCCTCTCTGAAGAGGTAACCCTAAAATCTTTTAAAGATTAGATAAAAGCTCCCAAATACTTCAGACATTTTTGGCCTTTGGAACACAGTATGTTGCTAAGAAGCCCAAGGACATTGTGATTTTTAGCCAAGAAACTGGCTACTTTTCTTTGGGGTCTTTTTACCCTAACTACCTAGCCAATTCCTACCTCCTATTCCTATCACACCATCCTCTAAAGAGGTTACCCAACTTGTGGAAAGGGAATTGGTACGCAGACCGCTCTGGCTTCTTCCATGCTAAACAGGGTCACAGGGTGAGGCAATTGGAGTACCCCTTCAATGGGTCTATCTAAAAAACTCCCAAATTGCATAACTCTCATCTCTAAGGGGAAAAGAAAGTCCTTGAATCATGAATAGGAGATGTGAAGGAGAAGTAAAGGCAAGAGTAATTAGCATTACAAGTTCTAGACAGGGAACTAGAAAAAAGTCAGAACAGGGCAATTTTCAAATGTTCATATGTGAGTCCATTGGAATTTCTTGACAAGGGCTTCCAAAAGCATCACTCTATTGGGTTCCTCCTCAATTTTCTTTTGTCTGCCAAGGCTAGACTCGAGAATGATGGAATCAGGATTTACTTTCAGGTATTTTGATAGCTGTTGCAGTGCTTAGAATCAGTCAGTTCCCTCTCAAAGGCTTAGTTGGCTGGATACTCCAATGAGGGTCCAATGACCCAGCTTGGCCCTCCTTTAATGAATGAGCACAACCATCAACAAGAGCGATTGTGAAAATGTTTAGTGATCAGGCACAGCTGATGTCATGATGATGGTAGTTATTTCATGCAGAAAGGACTGCTGTACAACATTATCTTATTAAAAGGACATGGAATTTAAAAGGATTTGGTGCTAGGAGCCACAAATGAGGGAGAACACACATTGTTTTCTCTGAGTCTGTGTTACTTCACTTATTATAATACTTTCTAGATCCATTTACCTGCAAATTTGATTATTTCATCTTTGTCTACTGCTGAATAGAACTCCATTATGTAAATATACCACATTTTTGTTAACCACTTGTCAGTTGAGGGGCACTTAGGTTGCTTCCATCTCTTAGCTATTGCAAAAAGAGCAGCAATAAACATGGTTGTACAAGTATCTCTACAATAGGATGAGTCCTTTGGGTATATGCCAAGGAGTGGTATAACAGGGTCATATGGTTAGGTTCATTTTTATCTTTTTTTTTTTTTTTTTGAAGGTTCTACATATTTATTATTGAACCAATGTGCTCAAATCTCCAGAATAAAAACTTTCAGTTCCATTTGGTGGACCTAATGATGACCATGATTCAGCTTAAATAGTCAGTCATGCCATGGTGTGTGAATCCTCACAGACCCAGGTTGGTTCTCCTCCAGTGTCTTCTCTTGGAGTTGTACTTGATTTTGTTACTGGTTTTCATCCGAATCCACTGGGGAATAGGACGATTTTGCTTTTGTTTCTTGGTGAGTAATTGCTTTATTCTGAAAGTCTTGTGAGAAGACACGGGGAGAGACCCAGACAAGCGTACAGAAGACAATAGCTGACAAAAGGAAAAGCTCATTTTTAGTTTAAGAGTTCTCCACACTGTTTTCCATAGAGGCTGTATAAGTTTGCAATCCCACCAGCAGTAAATGAGCGTTCCCCTTTCTCCACATCCTCACCAGCATTTGG